TTGTAAAAATACTGTACAGAGGGGTTACAGTTACATGAACAAGGTAATGAGTACATTTCTTATCAAGAATTGTTGCCTCCTCCTTTGTTTTCCCTCTACCATCCATCCTTCCCTTCCACCTCCACAACTACACAAACATACATTATGTGACAAAAATGTAGCGTGGGCTTTCCCCATTAGTATTAATACATCTTTTTTTTTCTCTATTTAGGGTTTTCTTTGATTCAACCACAGGGTTTTTCATTGCAAGAAAATTTCCCATCAAAAAAGGATACTAACTATCTTTCCTGGTTTTAATAAATTGGCATTTCCTAAGATCCTATTTATTTAATATGACAGACACATAGAATTATATCTTTTATTCAAAGACAATTTTTCACAATTCTAATTCATCTGAAAACATATAAATGGTATAATGGAAAATCTTAGAATTTAAAGATAAGAAAATATCCTAACTTTTTTGAGTTTTAGCCAAAATCCAGAATATTCAATAGTTAATTTTTTATTGTGCAGAGAAGTTATCAATCTATTAACCAATTTTCTTTCATTGGTCTATCAGTATCCTAGAAACTGTAACTACATATGTGCATTATGTCATTTTGTTGTTTTTTTTTTTTTTTTTCACTTCTCATGCCTTTTAATTTTTTTCCCAGAATTTTTTTTTTAATTTTATTTTATTTTATTTGAGAACATACTGTACAGAGGGGTTACAATTACATGGGCAGGATAATGCATACATTTCTTACCAAGCATTGCAGCCTCCTCCTTTGTTTACCCTTCACCTCCCTTCCCAGCCTCCCCCCTCCCCCCCACCCAATCATACCCCCCCTCACCCCCACCGACATTGTAAAGCTGGTTTTGACATGACATTTTGTACTTCTCATTGTTGCAACAGGTCCACCTGAATCCTTAAACGACTTGTTTGTCCCCGTCTCCTCCACATGTTATACTGACATCAAATATAGTGAAAGCGGGGGTTACACTGTGGGGGAGGGACATACAAAGCAACAAAGAAATAATCTTATAAATGCATTAGAAACATATGCATGAAAGAAACAAAAACATTAAAATACATATTTGAGGGTTCGTTTTCCTAACATCACATTCTCTGACTTTTTCCGCTTGACTCATACCTATACTAGATATTGCAAATACAACTGACTTTAAGATGAATATGCTTGCTCTGAGAGACTTTATCTAGTATTCCAAAGAGCCAACTTGGTGTAGGTCTGGAATGATAGGGGTTTTCTTTCTTTCCTGCCATCCTGTTCATTACAACTGCCATCATGTTAGAACAAAAATTATGTTTCTTTGTGAAGCCTAATATTGGCATAAATCTCAACTTACTAGGTGAAATTACAAAAATTTAAATTTTGTTAATTCCTAAAACAAAAAGAATTACTGCTGGCTTTCTTTGAATCAAAAACAAGAGAAGATTTTTAAATAAAATATTTTCTAGTTATTGTTCAGGAGATTGTGATGAGAAAATTACATTTCTTAGAAAGATTTGTTGCCCATGTAATTGTAACTCCTTTGTATGGTATTTTCACAATTAAAAAAAAAGAAGAAAGATTTGTGAGCCTACAAATTCAATGTGCTTTGAGGTATGTTGACAAACCCTGGTGCATATTGGTTTTCTTTCTGCTTTGCTGAACAAGAGTAGTGTTAGCAAAACCAAATAACTAAAGTAGGAAGATTTTAAATGTTTTATTATTTTGATGTTGTAGTAATTTATAAATGTTGACACTATATGACCAGAAATATGAGAATCTTCTACTTATGTAACAGGGAGCCTGATCCTCTGTTCCCTACCACAATCCTGTTCCTTCTTTTTCCTCTTACCCCTTCTCTTTTTTATCACTTATATTTCTCCTTCATTCTCAATCCTGGTTCATATTTTCTCAGCTGCCACTTAGAAATCCCTATCTACTCACATGGAACATGAGTTGTACTCCTTCCAAATTCCATTTCTTTAAAAAACTGGACTTGAACCCAAGGCCTGAGTGCTGCCCTTTGGCACTATTTGCTCAAAACTGTTGTTCTTCCATTTGAGCCACAGCTCCATTACCTGGTCTTTAGTGGTTAATTGGAGATAAAAATCTCATAGAATTTCATTCTTCGGTTAGCTTCAAACTGTGATCCTCCAGTCTCAGTCTCTTGAGTATTTAGGATAACAGATATGAGACATCAAAGCCTGCTCTAGTTATTTATTCTTATATTCTAATATTTATAACATGTACTTTTTTAGATTATAAAAGTAATTAAGTATACTACTTTAAATTATTGAACAAAAGATTGAATAAAATAAAAATTACCTGTCATCCCAAGAATGAGAAAACTATAATCTTATTTGAGACTGTATTTCCTTTTTCCTTTAGTAGCTTCCAGTCAACCCTTAGAATTTTCAACTGAAAAAACAGAGGGCTTCTTCCTGTGTTCATTCCAATCCAACTGGTCCAGGTATCCTATTAAGGTTTTCACTACTTTCTTTGGTTTTCATTCATATCACATATTCAATATAGGTATAAAGAATTATAATGTTTCATCCTGAGATTCTGCTCTGCCTTCTTGCTTATGATAGCTAAGATCTTAGGAAATGAGCAAATCAATAGAAACATAAAATTTTGAATTATATCATATAACTGTTTTACAATTTGTATACAATTGACATTATAATCTATTTCCTTGGTCATTGTTGAATATATATATATATATATACATATGTATATCTAATATTTGTATATACAAGTTTGTAACTATAAGAAGCTATTTTCCATTTTATGTGGTCAAATAATTAATAGTTTCTTGATGATTCTGCTTTATTAGAAAAACTTCCAAACATATTTACCAATATTTTCCACTAGTTGATGATGGTGCTGTTCATATTTAAACATTTAATTCTTCTGAATTTTTCAATTTCTTGTTATGAAAATATAGGAAATGGTGTAGCACCCTTGTTGTTGTATATCACCCAGATTCAAACTATATATGCATGATCAATCCTGTTTCATTTATATTCTTGCTAACTTCTCCCTTTTGATGATTCTGAGATAAATCAAAGATGCCATGTTATTGATCTGAAATGTTTCTCCAGGTATCTGTGAAAGAACAGAGTGGTTTAAGATCACATAACCACAACATTACTGTCAAATCTAAAACAATGAGTAATTATTCTTCATTACCTTAACTTTTTTGTTTAGTGTCTGAAGGAGGAATCTCTACCATTTTTAAAAGCTCCTGGTTTTTGTCATCTATGTTATCACCCTATTTTCCCTTTTGTGTTTTTGTGTTTCTCTTCCAGGCAGCTCAGCAGTAGGGTCCACCTTTATCTTTCTTCCTGTCTGACTTGAAATTCATGTGCCTGATTCTACTAGTTTATTTCCTTGTTCTGTTGTTTCCTGCTGACTTTCATCCAGTATGAATAGTTTTTATTCATTTATTTATTTACAAATATAGTGCCTTTGAGAACCTTTTCAAGGTGTTAATAAGATATTATATGCACTGTGTGTGTGTGTGTGTGTGTGTGTGTGTGAGTCATGAGGCTTGAACTCTGGGTCTGGGTGCTGTCCCTCAGTTCTTTAACTCAGGGCAAGCACTCTATCACTTAGCCACAGCGCCACTTCTGATTTTCTGGTGGTTAATTGGAGATCAGAGTCGCATGCACTTTCCTACCTGGGCTGGCTTTGAACTGTGATTCTCAAATCTTGGCCTCCTGAGTAACTAGGATTACAGGTGTGAGCTACTGGCACCCAGCTACTTGTCTTTTTATGAGTTAAGTGTGGGATTAAATGATCAATTGAGCCATTCTGTCCCTTATTACAATTGACATAGTTCTGGATGCACAACCTTTCACATTAGGAAGAAACAGTTGCTTCATCAAGTTTCCTTGACAACTTCCTGTCACATTGCCCAGCTCTCTCAGGAGCAAGATGTAGGGTCCATCTTACTGATTTCCTTCAATTAGTATTGTCTTTGTTTTAACATACACTCTTCAGAATTTCCTGTTGGAGCTGTAGTCCTTGTGTATGGCTGTATTACATGTAAAATTTCCTTCATTTTAATAGTTTGCTAGCTACTGCAATAAAGTTTTGTGATATTGGTTAGATAGGTACCTACTCCCATATGGATGTTGCCAGAAAGTCACCTGGGAAAATGCAATAATATGTATTTCTACAATAGTTAAAGACTACTAATAGTTCATCAATTCAAAAAACTTTGAGCCTTTACTTACTATGTTGGGAAGGACATGTGGAAAGTTAGTAACAAGAGAGAGTTGATACAGCATTTGGGACTTACGTAAAAATTTATATTTTAAAAATTAGCATCAAAATACCTGGCAAGGAAGAGATTTTCTTTTGGTTCCTAGTTCCAGAAGTGTTATTATATCCTGGTCAAACAGAACAACTCACATCATGGTGGATAGAAAGCACAGAAAGAGGAAGGAATTGGAGACCTGATGTAACCTTCAGAGGTCTGACCTTTCAAAGTATTTTTAACCTCCAAAACAAGTGCCATTAGCTAGAGACTAAGTTGTTCAGGACATGATCCTGGGGAGACATTTCAGATTTAAACCATAACACAAATGGATTGCCAATGCTTCTCAACTCAGAATATTGACTTATCTCCTTTCACTCTGTTCCATGTAACTTCACTTTATTCCTGGACTTGAATTCAAATTCTTCGCAAGATGAAGTATAGCCACATTCAGAGACCACTGAATAGTGAAAACAGAACGCAGAGTTGGAAAAACTTGATTTTCACTTCTCTGTCTTAGTAGTAAGGCCCAAAGCATATTACTCACAAATTTTATTATTTTTTCTTTTTTATTGACAAGGTGATGAGTTGGGGGTTACAGTGACATTGGTAAGGCAATAAGTACATTTGTTGTTAATCATTGTTACTCCATCCCTCTTTATCTCCTACTAACCCCTCCTTCTCCCCCCCAAGTTGTAATGTTCATAGTCAACATAGCGTCAAGTGAATATCAATGTTGCCGTGGTTCATCTGTTGTTCTGTTGTAAAAATTTGCATGTCATCCTTATGTAGGGGCCATGCTAATCTCTGTCGTGTTCCAATTTTAGTATGTGTGCTGCCGAAGTGAGCACACCAATTTTAAATTTAATATCAATAATTCTAAAATGGCTTGACAATTATTTTTCTCACAGGATATTTAGAACATTAGATGTCATAAACATAAAAATATTAGGTAAATGTCTATATATATTAATATTAGCCTATATTATGAATGCCTCATAAATTAAGATGTTTAATAATGGCTAGTCATCACAGTAAGAGTTAAATAGCTAGAAAGAATCAATATCCTCTCATCTTTTTCTATGAAGACTGCTGGCTTGTTTTACTTCTAAAGTTGCTGATTTCAAATTCTCAGATTCTGTAAATTAGAAAGGTTTTAGAGCTAGTGGGAGTTTTTCAGGTTAAAGGTTAGTAATCACACATACTGTGTCCTTCTGAGTCTTAGACTAGAGTGCTAGAGGCTGCCTGTCCTAGCAAACAGACTCTGGGGAGATATTTGCACTCGAGATGTGTATTGAGAGTACTCATGGTGGCAATTCCTGTTTGCTGAGAGAAGCAGTTTTCACAGAGAGGGGAGCTGAACTGATGCATTCGCAACTAAGTCTCAGGTCATTGGTCTTCTATTGTTTACCTCTCCAGTATATATCAATTATCTAACTTTGGTTTAGGTGAATTAACCCCTTTTGAGCCTTAGTTTCTATGTGTACTCTTATTTGAGAGGATTAAAAGAGAGCATCACTGGTATCCCTGGATTATGTAAATTGGAAATGTAAGTGTGTTATAATTGCCTCCGATGGAAAGTCTTGGCATGACTGGTTCTATGACATGAGATACCATATTGCCTGGCTGTAACACATTTGAATCTGATTATTGGATCAGAATTATAGCAAAAGGTCCTGTTTGCTTACGCTTGAAAAATTTCAAATGAATCCCCCAATTGCCTGAGGATAGTTTTGCTATGATCTGAGTATGACACTGCCAAAATTCAGGTGTCCATATTGTGATTATTAACTGTTTAGAGCCTTTAAGAGGTGTTAGTCTGCGAATAAGACTCAGACTCTTATAAAAGATGCACCACAGAATATCTTACTTTCTTGTTCTTCTGCCTTCTACTTTGTGAGACATAGAATTCCCACACCAAGCTACAAGAAATATCCTGGAAGTAGTGTACATTGTAACAACTGAACTGGCCAGTGTTGGTGTTGGATAATCCAATCACCAGAATTGTAGGAGGTTTCTGTTCCTTTTTTATTGTCAAGGTGATACACAGAGGGGTTACAGTTACATAAGTAAGGTAATGAGTACATTTCTTGTCAAATTTTTTACCCTGGCTCTCATTTTTCTCCTATTTTTCCTTCTTTGCAATCCCCCCAAGTTGTATAGATCATTTCCAACATATTGTCTTTTGAATATCACAGATGGTTCCCCCTTTGTCCTTTGTCCCACCATTCTGTTCCCCTTCCCTTCCCTAATTCAGATACTTGTGTATACAATACTAGGCTACCAAAATCAAATGCAGTGACAACAGGGGATGTAGCATAGGTGGAAGAACATACAAAAGAAATAAGAAATCACATAGTACATTAAAAGCACAACCACAAAGAAAAACCGCTTGTGTCCATGTCTTGGAGTTCGTTTCGCTTAGATCATCTTATATGGTTATATGTATGTAGTTATCGAGCTATTCTGCTCATTCTGTTCTTAATAAATTACTCATTCTATATATTCTATTACAGCCCCAATCAACAACAACAGCAACAACAAAACCACTGTATGATTGTCAAGATGTTTTCAATTTAGCTGAAATTCCCACTCTTGCCTTTCTATCAGTAATTGAGTGAAATTATGTTTGGTCAGATATATGGGATGAAGTAGGCACTATTTGTATTTCTCCAACTCAATGTCTAATTGAAAAACACTGTCTGACTTCTTTAAAGAAAATTTAACAGAAAGATTAATATATAAGTTAAAATTAAGTGAAAGATTAATGTTTAAGTTAAAAACTTTCCAAGAGCTCAGAGACAAATGGCAACCAAGGTTCTCTGCCTGATGTTTGGCTTTGACCCATGAGTTTTATCCTACTTTCTAGCCAATCTCTTTCAATTGAGAGCTGTTGCAGGAATCCTTCATGGTTGATCTTAAATCTCTGACTAGCATCAAATCTTTGACATTATTGTTATGTGATACTTTGTGCATCCATCAATAAGCATGAAGCTTTAGTGCAAATATAATGATGACTACCTTGTGTTGAATTAGTGAAATTGTTTTCTGAAAGAAAAAAATTGATTGGTTGATACCCATTGAAAAAGTTTCCTTTACTGGACTAAAGGAATGCTGAATTCATTAAAATACAGTCATAGTCATAGGCTACGGTTCTTTTTCTCTGATCTCAGAGGCCAAAGTCAGTGATTCATCTATGATCTTGCAGCAGATGGTACACTCCTCCAGAACTGGGCAGGTGCTGGCATGGAAAACACCAAAACTTTTTATTTTATGAGGCCACATCAAACTGGGGAAATTCCTTTCGTATAAATATGCTTATTTTTTTTAATCAGAAAAATAGCTTAGAGCAGATTTTGGATATAGTGAATATAGACATATAAGAACTAGAGGGCTGGGAAGGTGGCTCAGTGGTAGAGTGCTTGCCTTACATGCATGAGGCCCTGGGTTCAATTCCTCAGCACCACATAAGCAGAAAAAAAAGCCAGAAGTGGCTCTCTGGCTCAGGTGGTAGAGTGCTAGCCTTGAGGTGAAGAGCTGAGGGACAGCGCCCAGGTCCAGAGTTCAGGCCCACGACTGGACAACCCCCCCCCCCCAAAAAAAAAAAGAACAAGATAAAAGTACTTCCTGGAATACCTCTATTAAAATAATAATTTTTAGGTTTTAAAACAATTAGTCATGTGAAAAAGAAAAGGAAAGAAAACCATATGTCTTTATGAGAGAACCAAGTTCTAGTAGAATTAATGTTTTATAACTTTTTCTTTCTATCTATTTTCTCTTTCTCTCTCTCTCCCTCCTCTCTCTCACTCACTCTTTCTTTGTTATATTTTAGAAATGTGAACTTTACTAGGACCTGGTAACCGGCCCTTATAGCATGAAAATAATTGCCTACAATTATCTAAATGGGTAAATGAATGGCAGCTTGTTTTCAGTAAAACTTTATTTTCAAAAAGCCCCCCACATCTGAGCAGGGACTCACTAGACACTATGTTGAAAATGACCTATACAAATTGCTGGGGAAGATGGGAAGGAAAAACTGGGAGAGAGTGAGAAAAGGGGTGACACGGTACAAAAAGAAATGTACTCATTACTTAAGTAACTATAATCATTCTGCACATCACCTTATAATAGCAATAAGACTAAAAAGAAATAAAAAGAATAAAAAAGAAATGAAAATTATAAGAAATGAAATAAATCACATTTTTGAGAAGTAAACAGAAAAACACACATGTGGTTGCATTTGTCTAGCTGTCCACATTATGCATATGTGGTGTGAGAGCTAATGGTAGCTGAATTTGAGTGACAGGAATGACCGAATTCTTGGGTCTATTGATATCTATTGCTAGGATCACAATCTTCTGTAACTGCACACAAACAAATCTCTTCCCTGTACATAGCAATCGGCATTTACTTATCACTAGCTGGTGTGGTTCGCAGTCTTCAGGTCAGCTATAATTGCCAGCATCCATCACAGAGGCTGAGGCATCTTCTGTTGTATTAGTGTTGGTTAGTTGGGAACTCTGGAATGGTGGTCTTCCACAGGTATTCATTCCATGATGACTCCAAAGCCACCTTAGAAGCTTTTTCAATGGAGACACGGGTATTTGAGCAGAAACGTGTGAATTTTGAAAATGCCTAGCTTTGAAATGGGTACACTGACAGGGCCACTTTTCCTCTTCTGTCATGGTTCAAATCAAATCAAATCAAATCCAATGGTCGAGAGGAGGTCATAGGGAGGTCATGACAAGAATATTAGTAAAGGGTCATTTGACATTGAAACTGGAAAAAATGTCTTTGTTTTTTAAATTTCTATTTATTTTTTAATTCAATTGTATTTTCAAGGTGATGTACAAAAGGATTACAGTTACATAAGTAAGATAGGGGGTACATTTCTTCTTGAACTTGTTACCCTCTCTCTCATTTTCCTTTCACTTTCTCCCCAAACACCCCCAACGTATTGTCTTATTAGTATCACTGTTGCATTGGTTCCCCTTTGTCCTTTGTCTCACCATTTTTTTTTTGTTCTCCTTCCCTTCCCTAATTCTGATAAACACACCAAAATTGAATACAGTGAAAACAGGGGATAAACCATAGAGGGAAAAAAGACACAAAAGAAAAAAGAAATCACATCATACACTAACAACAACAAAGAAAAACCTCTTGTGTGTATGTCTTGGAGCTTGTTTTGCTTGGTCATATGTACGAAGCTATTGAGCTATTCTGCTTAATACGAATTATTTCAAATAAGGGAAACCATGGGACCTCTGTTTCTTTGGGTTAGGCTTACTTCACTTAATATGATTTTTTCCAACTCCTTCCATTTCCTTACAAATAGGGTGCTGTCATCCTTTCTGATAGAAGTTTAGGATTCCATTGTGTATATATACACTACATATTCTTGATCCATTTATCAACTGAGGGGCATCTGGGTTGATTCCGCATCTTAGCTATGGTAAATAACGCTGCAATAAACATAGTTGTGCTGGTAGCTTTAGTAAGGCCTTGTTTGTGGTCCTCTGGGTAAATGTCCAGAAATTACACTCATGAGCCTCATTACCAAAGGTTCTGAGTCAGCAGGACTGTGTAGAGATCACAAATATGTCCATGCTTATCCATCTCGATTATCAGTCGGTATTCACTTGGGTCAAATGCTTCTAACACCACTTACAATTCTGTCTCACCTGGCTGTAGGAGATGAAGATTTATTTTGGCTTTTTTTTCTTTAAGCAGTCCTTTCTGTTGTTAGGAAGTCTGTCTAATTTGAAAGCCAGTCTCCTCAGTGGCTCTCTCTTCTAGACTCACAAAGCAGTCTGACTGTGACCTTGATAAAAACAAAACAAAACAAAACAAA